TATTTCCATTAGGTCCGGATGGTGACTTTTGATTTGGGCGTATGCCTAAATTTGCATTTGGGTGTTTTTAGAAGGTTTTAGCGCTAATTGGCAAAAAGCTGCCAATTTGAAGGTTTGAAAAGCTCTAGGTTCGATTAGGAGTTGACTTTGAATATATCGGATTCAAATTGTTGTTCCGGGAGTTGAAATAGGCTCGTTATGTCATTTGGAATTTGTATGCAAAACTTGAGATCATTCCGAGTTGATTTGATATGGTTCGGCACGAGTTTTGGAAGTTGAAAGTTTAAAAATTTATTAATTTTGATTTGAGGTGCGACTCATGGTTTTGATGTTATTATGTGTGATTTGAGGCCTCATGTAGGTCCGTGTTATGTTTTGGGACTTGTTGGTATGTTCGGACGGGGTCCCAAGAGGCTCGGGCGAGTTTCGGGGTGGTTTCGGACAATTTCTAGGCCCTTTTCAGTCGCTGGCTTTTGGCTACAGGGGTGTGAATCACGATCGTCGACCTTTGGGACACATTTGCAAAGAGTAATTTTGTGTTTGGGCCTTTCGAAACGCGATCGCGGTACCCTCTCTCGCAATCGCGTAGAAGAATTTTTGTTGTCACACGACTGACTTTGGAAGCTTATATCTTGCAATCTCTAAGGAATTTGAAGGTGATCCAAAAACAAAAGTTGTAGCCCTTTGTTTTTAGTTTCAGTAAATCAAATCGTTTGTCATTTGGAGTTTCTATAAAAAGACGTTATGGTTGATACACTACAGGTTGTCTGGGAAGAATTTGGTAAGGGTTAATGGAATTCGTTCATCGCAATCGCGAAGGGTAAAAACTGTGGTGTACATTCTTAGAATCGTGATCGCAAGGTTGGTGACCGCGATCACGAAGAAGGAATACTGGCAGTGCATTAAAACATCCAATTTCGAGATTTTGAGTTTATTTTCTACACTTTTGAGTTCTTGGAGCACAAGTAAGGCGATTTTGGAGGAGATAAACACCCAAATCTTGAGGGTAAGTATATTTATCTTTATTTTGATTGTATATTTTGTTTTTTATTACACCTAAATCAAGGATTTGAATAGAAGAAATTAGGGGGGGGGGGGTATGTCTAAATTTTTCTAAAGTGAATATTTGAGATTTGAACATCGATTCGGAGTCGGGTTTGAGTGAAATTAGTATGGTTGGACTCGTAATTGAATGGGTTATCCAAAATTTGTGAGTTTTGTCGGGTTCCGAGGTGCGAGACAGGGGTTGACTTTTAGGTGTACTTTAAGTAATTGATTAAAGATTCTACCTTTATCATTTGAGTTTATATTCTTTGGCATTATTTGATGATTTTGAGTTGCCTTTGGCTAGTTTCGAGCGGTTCAGAGGTTGATTCGCGCAGAATGGCATTTCTAGAGTGTTGTTTGGCTTTCTCTATATTTAATTTGACTTGCTTGAGGTAAGTATCTTATCTAAACTTGGTTAAGGCACTAGTTTCCTGAGTTATTTGTGATAGCTACGTGTTATAGGTGCGCACATGTGTGGGGGATTGAGTCCATGTGCGAGCATCGAGATATTTATCCATGCTTGGGGTAGTGCTAGGCTATGACCTGCCTTGAATTGATTTATAAGCCTTATACTGTGACATATCTCCTATTTATACCCCTATTGTGAGCTATTTGAGCTATATTGAGGTTGCATAGAGGTTAATATCCTGATTTAACTTGTACCTACTATTTTATGATGAATTCACATGTTTTGAGTTATGATATCACACTATATGCATACACCTTAGCATGTTACTTATACCACTCCGGGAATATGAAATTTGATGTTCTTTGATCATGTACATTTATTCTTGCATATTTGCTTTATGTGTGATATGGTTTGGACTAGTAGCCTATGACCACGCCGAGCGAATTTTGGTTACTAGTACGTGAGTTATCCGTGCAACAACGTGAGTTGTCCGTACCGATCCAGATATTGATATTATTGGGATGTGAGTTGTTCGTGCAACACATGAGTTGTCCACACGGTTAATATTTTTAGTACGTGAGTTGTTCGTGCAGCGTGTGGATACAAATCCATCCCCTTACGGTCACCCTCTCATGTTTCTCTCTTGATGGTGTACACACGGATTATGTGAAACCGACGGGCTTCTGGTTGATGTGAGCTCTAGGAGAGCTGGTTACTGGTTTTGGTTCGGTTATTGAGATTTTGATGTGGGCCTGAGAGCTGTCATGTGATTTCTAATTGGATCAGGTAGCGCGCTGCAATGGATTGATATTTGATTATTGCATTTCATCTTCATTTGCAATTTTCTTGACTGTTTACCTGATTTACTTACATACCTTCCTTATATGCTGGATTGTTGACTGAGCAAAATACTTTAAAAGAATTGTGATCACCAAGGTAGTTTTACCTGTGTTTTCCTGATTTTGATCATGTATCTGTTCTATACTTGTGTGATGTTTATGAACTTGTACAGGTGACTGGCGAGTATCATTTATAATTCAGGTGACTGGCGAGTATCATTTATAATTCTTACTTCTATTACCTCGTCGAGGTTAGTTATGATATTTATTGAGTACATCGGGTCGGTTGTACTCATACTACACTTCTGCACCTTGCGTGTAGATCTTGGTGCCGATGTTGCTGGGTATGGCGGAAACTGGCATTGAAGATGTACATGCATTCCGGTTATAGCCGCCACTTGTCCTTGGTAGCTTTAGATTTGCAATTCTATTTATGTATTCGAACAGATGATGTATTTATTTTATACCAGCTTTGTAAATTCTAAGTCATAGAAGCTCATGACTTGTACTACAAGTCCTTGGAATTTTGTATGGAAGTTCAGTTATTTTACTCTTTGGCTTTTCTCGTTCTCCTTTGTGTTGTGTTGAATGTTATTTGATTTACCTAGCGGGTTAGGTTAGGTACCATAACGATTAGATGGATTTTGAATCGTGACAGAAGGAGTAATAACTTTCTTACACTTTAAAAAGGTAAATTATTTAGCAAAGGAGTAATAACTTTCTTACACTTTAAACATGTAAATTATTTGTACTTTTGCTAAATTATAATATTTTATAATGTAAAAGTTCCTCATTTATATTTTAGTTTGCTTATTTATTAGGAATTTTACATGCTATAACTAAATAATGCACTTTATTTATTATAAACCAAAATACTTTAAAAATATTACTCTCTCCATTTCAATTTATGTGAACTTATTTTCTTTTTAGTCTGTGCCAAAAAGAATGACCTCTTTCCTTATTTAGAAACAATTTACCTTTATGCAATGATTTATAGCCACGCAAAATATATGTGCCTCATTTTATACCACAAGTTTAAAAGTCTTCTCTCTTTTCTTAAACTCCGTGCCCAGTCAAATGGGTTCACATAAATTGAGACGCAAGGAGTATTATTTATATCCACTTTTTATATTTTATAGCAAAGTACAGTTATATACAACTGATCCCTCGACTTTTTCCTCAATCCTCTCTCTCTTCTCCCTAACTCATTCTCCTTTTTCCCTCAACCCTCTCTTTCTTTTCTTTGTATTTTTTGGTCGTCATCCAGCTCTACCTGCAATGAGTCTATTATCGGCGGCGAAAACAATGGAGGAGGAAGATCGGAGGCGTCACTAGATCTGAATTTAACGGAGATGCCGAAATCCATGGCGCTCTCTCTCTCTCCTCTCTCTTTCTGAAACTCGAGATCTGGTTCGCCGGCAGAAGCCCACTAATGCCGTTGACCCAGAATCCGTTTTACTCAAAACAAAGCCTTTTTTCATCTGGGTTTGCCGCTCAAAATCCATTTTTGGTATTTGGGTTCTCCTTCTTTGGAAACCATGACTTCTTCTCTCGAATCCATGGCTTCTTCTCCTTCTTCGTTTGTCTCCGTTATTAGTTTTAATATAGTGTATACAGTGTTTACTTGGCCGGAAGATGCCATCTCCGGTGAACTTTCTTCTCTTCTTTGCTATTGAATCACATACAATGATACAAAAAAATTGTATTTTGTACAAATACACTCAAATTTGAGTGTATTCTGTATTTTCAATATAATACAGTTTATTTTATTTTTTTGTATTTTTGCCTGTATTTATGTATTCCGGAAGTTATTTTTGAGGCAGATCCATGTGCATTTTGCAGTTTTATTGTTTGAATTAAATACAGTGAATTGAATATATTGTAAAAGCAGCTATGAATGAATACAATATAAAAGCAGCTACGAATAAATATAGTGAATTGAATACAACAGAATATCACTTTATTTGTGGTTTTTTATTATTTAAATACATTTAAATTGAATACAGTAAAATTAAATACAATGTAAAATAGTTAAGAATGAATATAGCCGAATTGAATATAATGTATACAGCCTAATTAAATACAGCGGTATAGACCTTATTTCTTGAGTTTTTGTTGTTTGAATACAACTGAATTCAATACTGCAAAATTGAATACAATATAAAATATATAAGAATGAATATATCTGAATTGAATACACTATATATAACTGAATTGAATACAACGATATACATCCTATAAAGCAATTAATAGCTACAGAATGTAATTAGCTAAATTATAGCTACGCCCGACAATAAGCCTCCAAAACAATAAGCATTTGTGAAAGTTTCCCTTATTACTCCGCTTCAAATTTTCTTTAATCTACGTCGTTAGGACAAAGGGTTAAATGTTCTGGAAAAATAGGGATAATATCATCATATTTTGTACAAAATTTTTATAGATAGAGGTGTAAGCAGTTCAATGTTAAAATATAGGAGTTGTATCAAAATTGAGTCATCTGGAGGTGTTTTTAGTAATTTACCCCTTTTTCGGTTTTCCTGCATTAGCTCCAAAACTAGCCTTCCACTTATTCGGCCTGTAGAGACACGTGTATGTCATTATCCATGTTTTTGCACTTACAAATCTCATCTGCCACTATTGTTCAGTTTACCAACTTTATAGAGTTTTGCCTCTCTGTTTTATTGAAGAAAATCAAGAATTTCTGAAATGGTAGCTCTGAAAATGCATTTAAATTGAAGGAGCATCCTAAGCTTCCAAAGGGAAAAACAGTTGCAGTGATAATTTTGGACGGTTGGGGTGAGGCTAATCCCAATGAATTCAACGCTATCCACGTCGCTCAAACTCCCACCATGGACTCCCTCAAACAGGTAATTACATCTTCTTTGGCTTTTTTTATTTTTATATTTTATCTTAGTCCCATTCCCATATGAATATCCCTTCGGAGAAATTGGAACAGACAAGATTAACACGACACCTGAGGCGCAGTTGGCTGTATATACATATATGTGTGTGTGTGTGTGTGTGTGTGTGTGTGTGTGTGTGTGTGTGTGTGTGTGTGTGTGTGTGAGTGATCCAAACTATTTGGGACTGAGGCGCAGTTGAGTTGAGTTTTTCTTACATCATGTCTGTATTTACCCGTCTTTTTTATATGGTTAGAAACTTGTTTCACAATTTTGAGATAAATGCAACAATTAGTGAACCTCTAGTTTGAGAGGGTTCTAGTATGCACTAAACTTCAAATTATTTGGCACTATTATGAAAAATGGGACTGTATAGAGCAGAATTGATGTAGAGGGTTCATATAGCCTACCATAAAGCTACTCTGCTGGGACGAACCCATAACTAATGCACTAGGTCCACTCCTGATTGATTAATTGATTTCGCTTTGTTTCTTTGCTCATCAAATGTTGGTCCATTGATTTATATAGGGTGCTCCGGAGAAATGGAGATTGATAAAGGCCCATGGAAATGCTGTGGGACTGCCCACAGAAGATGACATGGGCAACAGTGAAGTCGGTCATAATGCTCTTGGTGCTGGAAGGATCTTCGCTCAAGGGTGAGATTTCTTTTCTCTCTTTGCACTGCAATCACCACCATAAGAGGAGAAACACAATGCATTTCCAGTTATTCTCTTGTTTGTCATTTTAAAAATTAAGACAATGTGTTTCCAGATATTCTCTTGTTTATTTGTCATGTTACAAATGACATTTCTCCTTCTTGACTCTGTTAGGACCTTCATTTAATTACACATGTTTTGCCCCTACCTGTATATATAAATCTAGTATGGTTAAGCTTCTTCTACCGGGGACGTGATGGTTTTCTTATTGGGTTCGAGCAATGTGGCTTTTATAGGGTATTAAGTTCTTTTTTTGGTAGTCATCTGTTGAAATGTTGTCAGCTTTATATTGAGGTTAGAATTTCTCCTGACATAATTGTTTCATCCCCACTTAGCTTTTGGTGCCAAAAACTTCTTTCTGCACCCATTAAAGAAACTAGAAAAAGTTTCAGCCCTTCATATTAATTGCTGAGCATGTTTCTGACCTACTTTGCACAAACGGAACACATTTCGAAACAGCCTGTGGTTAGTGTTGCCCTTCATTAAACTGTTTCTTGTCCTGCCATTCGAGATGAATGGCTTCATTATTGGCCGTTTAGCTCTCTATGTTTTTTGTTTATCATATGAAATGCCAGTGAAAGAGGGGTGGGGTGGGGTCTTGCTTTGTATGTGCTTGATATGGAGATTGTTACTTAACTTTTCTTTCCTATGTATGTTGTTATAGTGCAAAGCTGGTAGACCTAGCCCTTGCCTCAGGCAAAATCTATGATGGAGAAGGTTTTAAATATATAAAAGAAAGTTTCAGAAGTGGAACTCTGCACCTCATTGGGCTCTTAAGTGATGGGGGTGTACATTCCAGGCTTGACCAAATACAGGTGTGTTTGTCAGTTTTAAGCAATTACAGATACTGCATTTATAATGCTGCCGGTTTCTTCAGAAATTTACTACTTCATTTCTGTTACATTCAGTGTATTGATTGCAACCGCTAATGCCTCAGGGGAATAGTAAGAGTGATCTTACTTTTGGTTGCAGTTGTTGCTGAAAGGTTCTGCTGAGCATGGTGCCAGAAGAATTCGTGTTCATGCCCTCACTGATGGACGTGATGTTCTTGATGGTAGTAGTGTGGGTTTTATGGAGACCCTTGAGAAGGATCTTGCTAAATTACGTGAACAAGGTATTGATGCCCAGGTTGCATCTGGTGGTGGTCGTATGTATGTTACCATGGATCGATACGAGGTAATATTTTTGTTCTTAAATTATTCTTAGTGATTTCTCCATCTGCATCAAATACCATTTGGTTTTTAAGTCTTCATGTGGACAAGACAATCAGTTAAATTATCACTACTGCTGCCTTTTCGACAGTGTATCTTTGTTTAACAATTTCTGCGAAGAGCAATATCCTCCTTCCCCCTCTTTAACAGTGTTTTGCTTCTTCCGCATCCTTTTTAAAATATCCTCTCACTATCCTTAGCTTTATTTTCTAGCCATTTCCCCAAGAAGCATGTCAACGCCCCCCCCCCACCCCCCCACCCCCCACCCAAATGTGTAATGGTGTGTTTTTGTCTTCTGCATCTTTTACAAAGTTCCACAAATTATTCATTAGCCGCCTCAGCTCATTCTCTCAGTAGTATCACATTCAGTGTTACTTATGACTATTCCTTTTGCAGAATGATTGGGATGTTGTAAAGAGAGGCTGGGATGCACAAGTGCTTGGTGAGACTCCACACAAGTTCAGAAATCCTGTTGAAGCAGTCAAGAAATTGAGGCAGGAACCTAATGCCAATGATCAATACTTACCTCCATTTGTTATTGTTGATGAGAGTGGAAAGCCTGTTGGGCCTATTGTGGATGGAGACGCTGTTGTGACCTTTAACTTCAGAGCAGATCGTATGGTCATGCTAGCTAAGGCACTTGAATATAAGGACTTTGATAAATTTGATCGTGTACGATTCCCTAAAGTCCGTTATGCTGGCATGCTTCAATATGATGGCGAGTTGAAGCTTCCAAGCCGATACCTTGTTTCTCCTCCGGAGATTGACAGGACATCTGGGGAGTATCTAGCTCACAATGGTAGACACACTTTTGCTTGTAGGTGAGTTCACTTATATGTCTTCTGGTGTCTTTGCTTGTTCTACAATGTCGTATATTGAGACTAAACCAATTGCGTATTCAAATATCCATCATATCAGAGGCTGCCCTCTAAAGGAGCTGGAATTGCTTCCAACTGTTGCAGACAGTTGTATTTTGAGTTAAAGTTTCTGATAAACAATGTTATGTTCATCATATTTTTCAAAAATATGAGAAATAAAAAAAGATTCACAAACTCCCAAAAAGAAAAGGTAGAGACTGCAGAACAGGAAAGTTGCATTTCTCAAAAACAATAGAACCTAACCTATGAAGCGTCTCATAAACAGATTTCCATATTTCATCCATTATCTCACAAAGGTAGAAATGGAAATTTGAAGTTCTAAATCCTTATAGATGTTGAAGTTTCTCAGTTCAATCGCTCGAGCTTTAAATACGAAGCTTCCTGGGAACATTTACCTATTTTTTGCTTGAAATATGTTTCTGTAAACTGTTCTTACAGAAATGCAAAGGTTTAAAAAATACCAGTGTTTCTGTACACTAATTTTCCTTGAAATGTGTCATGTACAATGTTCTTACAGAAACTAGAGATTCTAGATTTTAAATAAAGGCTGAAAATCAACTCCCAACTCCCAGAGCCTGGGAAAAAATATAAAAGAAGTAAATATGAGCTTGTCAGGAAGATAATAAGCTATTCATGCAATGTTTGAACTCTGTATGAGTGGAAACACTTAGAATGGTTGGACTTATTTTAAGCTGGTATTAATTCATGATCTTAATTCTCTTCAACAGCGAAACTGTTAAATTTGGTCATGTCACCTTTTTCTGGAATGGAAATCGGTCGGGGTATTTTAAGCAAGAACTAGAAGAGTATGTTGAAATTCCAAGTGACAGTGGGATAACATTCAACGTTAAGCCAAAGATGAAGGCCTTAGAGATTGCTGAAAAGGCTAGGGATGCTATACTAAGCTGCAAATTTGATCAGGTATATATTAAGAGTTTCTTGTAAGAGCTTATAAAAAGATAAAAGATAAAAAGAAAACGGAAGCTTATATTCTGTTTGTAACTTATTTACTAGGTACGTGTAAACCTACCTAATGGTGATATGGTGGGGCATACCGGTGACCTCAAAGCAACAATTGAGGCTTGCAAGGCTGCTGATGATGCTGTAAAGGTAATTGTGCTTCTAGGGGGTTTAATATCTCCATCCTCTCTCTGTTACAAGTTCCCCTAGTTTTGAGTGTCTTGCAATTTCTCTTTGGTGAAGATGGAAGGAGGGTATGATATTAGTTGCAACTGATTTTACGTGAGAGCTCTGAGATTAGACAAACTGGTGTTCAAACTGCTTTCTCTTTTTCTTTTATTTTATTCTATGTTACTTGCCTTGATAATGGAGCATTACCTTCACATGTCATGGAAATGCTCGGCAAAGTTTGGAGTCGTTTTATGAGTAGTTTCAGAGATGGAGTCAGGATTTGAGCTTGTGGGTTTGGGATTCTAGCCCTTTGAAGTTACTGGGTAATAAATTAATAATTTGTCCAAGTTAAATGATTTTCTTTAGACAAATACAGATTTGGACCAAAGTTACTAAGTAATCTTATACTAGCTCCGCTCCTGTGTAGTTTGGCCCTTCAACTAGGCAATGTTCCCTAATCATTAGTTTGTCAAAGTGAGGGAGACTTTTATGACGTTTAAGATTGCATTACTTTATTTCCAAAACCAATTTTGGATGACTTTTAACTATTTCAGATGTCAGTGAAGCACATGATCAAAATCAAGCTATATGATCTCTCCCGCGGACACATTTTTCATGATACCTGGCTGAGTCCTTTTATTTTTCCTATCAGAATTGAGTCTGTAAATTAATTTAATGTTTTTTACTTGTGCTACTTGCAGATGATCCTCGACACAATTGAACAAGTGGGTGGAATATATCTAGTTACGGCAGATCATGGAAATGCTGAAGACATGGTGAAGAGAAACAAGAAGGGAGAACCACTTCTTGATAAGAATGGCAACATTCAGATACTTACTTCTCACACTTGCCAACCTGTAAGTAATTCATTCATTTGGAGGAAAGGGAGAACATGGTGGTTTGGAATTTCATGTTAGGAAATTTTTAAAAGTACTCACTCTTTGTCATCTTTCTAAAGATTTTTTTTTTTAACCTGGAGTTACTCTATTGTTGTATTGAATGATAATGCTGGGAATTTTGTCTAGGTTCCTATTGCCATTGGTGGTCCTGGACTGGCACTTGGTGTGAGATTCCGCAAAGATCTCCCCACCGGAGGGCTTGCTAATGTAGCTGCTACATTCATGAATCTGCACGGCTTTGAGGCACCTAGTGATTATGAGCCAACCTTGATCGAGGTTGTTGACTAAATAGCATAGAATTCAGGATTGAAATTTTTTGGTACATAGGGTAGGTGAGAAAGAATTCATTTTCCATCTCCTTACATTTGAATAAAAAAAATTTGATTGACCTTTTTTTTTGGAAGTAAGTTGACATTCTACCCTATGGCCTTGTTAAGCTATATATGCGATGTGTGACGACCCGATAGGTCATTTTGAGTACTATCCTTAATTTATGTGTTTCGAGACCGATACCTCTCGTAGCTTCATTTGATGTTTATTGACTTGCATGCGTGGTCCGTGTCGCTTTTCGAAAAGCTTTTATGTGAATTTTGAAGAAAATGCAACTTTTGACTTAAAATGAGGCTAGAGTTGACCACTGTCAACATTTTTGGTAGACTTCGGATCGTTGTTTTGATAATTTCGGTAGGTTCGTATGATGTTTTTTGATTTGCACGCACGTTTGGTCGGGGGTCGGGGTGACTGAGCGCATTTCGGCGCATTATGTGAAAGTTGGTAAAAAGTTGAGTTTTAATTGAAATTTAAAGTCTTGGTGATCGATTCTTGTTATTTGACATTATTTTGATGATTGAGGTAGCGAGTAGGATGTTATTACTCTTGTGTTCATGTTTGGTTTGGAGCCCGAAGGGCTCGGGAAAGTTTTGGATGTGTTTTGGGAAATTTTGGAATGGCTGGTAGCAGCTAATGCTGGTGTGGGTCTGCAGATCTCGCTTTCGCAAGGTCCTGCTCCAAAATGCGAGCATCGGTTTTGCGGTCAATGCATCGCATCTGCGAAATGGGGCTGGGCTGGGTGTCTTCGCATTTGCGAGGGCAGTTTCGCTTTCGCAGATGTTGGATTCGCATTTGCAAATATTTTGGTCACATTTGCAAACCCTGAGCGTTTAGGACAGCTTTGCATATACGAAGCATTTATCCGCATTTGCGATGGTGGGCTCTTCGCATTTGCGAAACATGTCGCATTTATAACTACAATGGGTCTGATGCACTTGTTTCGCATTTGCGGACATTGCAATTGCGAATAAGAGTTCGCAATTGCGACGTCCGCAGTTGGGTAAAAGAGGAAAAAATCGGGACTTAGTTTATTTTACACTATTTTTCAGCCCAAAATATTCTAGAGGTGATTTTTGAAGAGGATTTTCTTCCCAAATTCATTTATAAGCAATTTTAACTAGTTTCCAATTAATTTCAATTACTTTTCCATGAACTTTAATATCAAATCTATTAGGGTGGCAATTGGGGAAGGGAGGGCAAGGCGGGGCAGGGAAAGCTGTTAACGTGGCGGGCAGGGCAGGGCAAAATGTTATATTTAAAAAAATTTAATGGGTTAGGCAGGGCAGGGCAAGAGCGTTTGAACCACTTAATTGCTGAGTTTTGTTCAAACCCTTGCTAGGAATTTGTGACTAAAGAAAAACTAAGTTCCTTTAAAGCAGATTTGGGTGAGAACTGGAACGTTGGAGCTACAAAAATTGCTTAATGGACTGAATAGTTGTATGACCTATGTCAAGTAGGTGATTTTTCTTTTATGGTATCCTATTACCATAATAATATAACATTGGCTGGTGGAAAACTAGTTTTGACTTTCAAAATTTGAAATAAGTTCATGTCGAAAAAGGCATGCAAAATGGACAGACATTCCCATGAGAGGTTGATGAAGCAGTAAGACGATCTGTTTTCTCTCTTGTATATGTATATGTTAATATTAAATATGAAGTCTAAGGTGGGTGCTGACTTGCTTAAATATTGTTGCAGCCTGATATAGTAACCGGAGATATAGTTTTTTGTGCTATCTACATCTAGTTATTATTGTATTGAATTTAATAAATTGATGTTGTATTTTAAATAACAAATGAAATGAATGAAAGTGATGGTTCGTCGTGCAATTTTGCAGTCAAATTAGTTCACTAACTTAAAAAGGAGTACGATAACCGAAGGAAACAAACAAATTCCAAAAGTGACATAAGCAGTTAGTTATTTACTTGGGGTGAAAAATTAACTTAAGGGGATTTACTCTATAATAAACTATATACATTCATAAAAATTATATTTTATTCAATAGATATATATAAATAGCACTTATTGACATGTAAATTTTAAATTTTTCAATAGACACTTGAAAAACT